CCCCCCTCCACTCCCACCTATCCTGCTACCACCCTCCTCCCTCCCCTCTCTGTGTCTCCCATTCTTTTCCCCCGCTTCCTCCCTACCTTTACCTCTTACTCACTCGCAGCAGTGGGTCACTCTCATTATCTTCTTTCACTCCATGTCCATTTGTACCTTACTACTTTTTTTTTATTAACTCTCCCACCCCCTTCTCTATTGTAAGGAAAGCATTACATTGGTTGCGTTTGTTTGTACGAGTGAGTGTCTTTGTGTAGTATGCCTTATACAATAGCCCCATATACCGTAGGCCATGAAAATGCTTTGCCCATTGCACACTAGTTGTAGCAAAAGAGGGCATTTTGGATACTTTATGGCCTCAGAAAACTGTTTATATTAATTTTGTGGAACTGATTCATACAAAGGTTAGATAAGTCAACTCGATTGGTCAACAGGAAATGGATTAGAAGAGTCTACCACCACGCTAGCAGTTCTATGAGGCTGCTTTGGAGCTAAATGCCAGTGTCGGCATGCTAGCGCGGTCACAATGACAACGCTAACACTCTGACGTATAGCAGCAGTTGACCACGTTCAGCGTCTTAGTTTAGGGTGCTAGCATGCTAACTTTTGCTAATTAGCACTATAGACAAAGTAGAGCTGGAGCTGATGGGAAGCGAATTAGTTTTGTACCAAAGTACTGAACAAATTAAAAAAATAGGCTGCTACAATCAATATTTTTCTATTAACAACGGACCATGTATATGTGAAAGGACTTCCTCGACACCACAGGTAATTATCACCTGGAGCGTTGTTCATAGATGCAGCAAGCAGCTGTTCCTGGCAGACAGGGAAGAAGCTAGTGGAGCATTAAGCAGTTAAAGAGCCAGATATTTCCCTCAGGAGTTGGTAAAGACCAAAAACAGCTAAATATGAATGTGGTGAATATGAAACCTGAATTCATTATCCACACAAGTGTACAGAAATACAACTATAAATTATTGCTAATGTAGCTACATATTGGCTAGATGTGTAAATAATCACACACCCCAGCAACCTCTTCCCTACGAGGCTTTACGGAGGTGTAACAACATTACGTTCCTTCCGTCTTTGCTTTCGAGTCCTGACATGAAAAGGTAAACATACTTTAGGTTGTTTCAGGCATTTGTACAAGAGACAGCTGTTTGAATTTAGTTTACCATTGTGGATATTCATAATGGCTCTTGTAGTATAGCATTTCTTGCAGTGTATTGCATAGTCCCTGTAGGCTGTGGAAATGCTATGCCCCCTGTGAAATGCTGAATAATTCTTGAAAAGATGGCATTTTCAAAATGCAAGCTATTTACCTTTGGCCCTCATACGCTCCTTTGGTCCCCACACAGGTACAAGCATACACAGTAGGCCGGCTGCACAGGCTGTGCCCATGCAGAGATTTTATATATGTTGCTAATGTAGCGTTCCTGCTACTCAGTTGCCTATTTTGCTGTCATGGCACTAGGTAAATGTTGCCTGCGATATGCTTCAACTGAATCAATTCAGCAGAACC